AGCCTAGAAAACTGCACTGAATCAAGGTGAGAGGAAAGCATGTTTAAGATAAGGAAAATTCCAGAAATCTTCTTTTTTAAGCACTCACTCCTTAGTCAGTGGCTGAGAGTGGCCAGGAATCCTGCTAGTTATTTGGACAAACGGAGAGTTGGGGTTTTGAGATGAGGGTCTGGGGAAACATAGAGACTATTCTGTGTGGTCGCTATTAGAATCCAACTTCAGCAAAAATTTCAAAAAGGCAATGGTCTCTGTCAGAACAATCTGTGACAACTGTGCTGATGTATAGGAACTTCAAGTTTGTACTGTATTTTCTGAGGTTGAAAATGTTATTTTAACAATTTTTTGTGTCTATCTCTTATCAAAAATGTAATCAAAATTACCAAACAATCCACTCTTATTTCATGACCATTGTAAAAGTACCACATTTTATAGCTCCTTACTAGCCTTTGCCAAATGAGAGCTCACGGGCCAAATGTGGCCACCACTTTCTTCTATGATCCATTAGCTAAGAATATTTTTACAATGTTTAAGTGGTTTGAAGAAAAATTAAAAAAAATATATCCAGGCATGTGAAAACTGTACGGAAGTTTACATTTCAGTGTCCATATAAAGTTTTATTAGAATGCAGCTGTTCCCTTTTGATTATACTATCTATAGCTGCTTCTGAGTTACAATGACAGAGTTGAGTCATAAGGAGAAGGGTCAGGGTCACCCTGTTGTAGAAACTTAAAGAAATTGAATTTTAACCTTTTTTTTTTCAAGAAACACTGGGCAAGGTGACCAACTACTCTTGAAGTGCGCATCTGAATTTTTACCTTGGAATCATTGAAACCCAAAAGTTACCTTGGCTCATCAAAGTATTTAGGGTGTTGAAATAAAGTTAAATGTTCTATACTGAATCTATAATTTCTTTGTGCATTTCACATTCTCAGTTTTGGAGAGAACAATAAGATTTATAGGTCTAGCGCCTTTGAGTTGTAGGCAGAGTCTTGATGAATGCATGATTAAGATAAAGAACTTGTTGCTTAAGATTGCTTTAAAAATTTGCTAAAATGTAGATATCAAAAATGTGATTGTGTAGCAATAGTATAGTCACTACTTATTAGATATTTTTTTCTTTTATTTTAGGGCTACATTGGAAATAAAGGATAAGAGCTTAGTCAACTGAACTGAATCCTAAATTATAAGTGCCATCCAGACATTATGTGCTTATGTTACATAATTCTAATTTTACGTAACCTTCTGTTTTTTTAAAATGAATGGAAATAAAGTTGATTTTGATAAATTTACTTTAATGTACAAAATAAAATATGTCATTTCTGTTTTTACCCCTTCCTTCCTTCCTTCCTTCCTTCCCTCCCTCCCTCCCTCCTTCCTTCCTTTCTTTCTTTTGTTTCTTTCCTTCTTTCTTTGATAAGATCTCCCTATAGCCCCAACTGACCTGGAACTCACTATGTAGACCAAGATGGCCTTTATCTCACAGAGATGTGCATGCTTCTGCCTCCAAAGTGCTGGGACTAAAGGCATGTACCACTATACCAGGTTCACTGCTTCTGTTTCTAAATGTGTGTGATGCAACTAGGTACCTTGTAGCTGAGTATGACCCAGGATAATGGCCATCAGATGTGTAATCTGTTGGTGAAGTTGGTGCCATCCATTTTATGGTTTTCTGTAACAACAGCCTAAGCAAAGATAAGTACTTGTAAACTTATCTAGTAGAAGGGTTTATCTAACCCACTGGATCTAAGAGAGTTTTAATCCTCTATTTTTTTTTAACCATTGTCTACAATTTCCATGTTCATTGTTGCATATTCATTTTAAAATAGAAAAACATCTCACAAAAAATCATTCTATTAGTTTTTATTACCAGAGTTATTTCTGTACTTTGGGCAAATATTTTCAATAAGTGAAATCTCCAATGATTATATATTTGTATATTATTTGGACTTTTTCCTTAGATTTTTAGTTTTTTATTTTTGAGAGTTTCATGCATAAATATTGTCTTTGCTTTATTTCCACCCTTCCCCGTCCCCACCAACTCCTCCATGTCCCCCCACAGCCTCTCAATTTCTTGTCTTCTTCTTAATTATTGTTGCATATACATAAATACTTTCATAAACATACAAATATACACGCTATATGTAATTTCTTAGATTCATGAAAATAATAAATCAACAGCATCTGCTTAATATAGCTACTTTTTACAATTTTTAAACCATCCTTTTCATTTTCTTTAGAAGCTTTGTGGTAATTTTTGTTATGATTTTGCAACCATTTTCCTCCTTGAAACCAAAAGTCCCTTCCTGTGGTCGTTACTGATGATATTTACATCCAGTGACATTTGGGTTTCAAGTCTTTGAGTTCTGGGACAATATCTCCTTCCCTCTCTTATATGCCTCAGAACAACACTGTATAAAAATACTACTTAAGGAACGCTGTTTATGATGTGGAAGGGATGATGAAGATGGTTCTGAGAGAACAGAGATACGTTAGTCACATCCTTGGTATTACCACCCGTTTTTGTTGTTGTTATAGCCATCTGATCCCCACGGTTCACTGAATGTACCAAGACATTCTACTAGATTCTCCCTTAATCTAGCCGGAAGCTCTAGTTTCTTGGCTATTTAAAAAAATATACTGAGTTGTAAATAGTGGAAAGGAGTGAGCATGTCTGACTACTTCACAGACTCTGCACTGTTCTCTACCTCTTAGCCAGGAGAAAGAGTACTACAGCATGGCGACAGTCAGTTAAAGATGCTCAGATAAATAGGCTTAGTTTCCTCAACCCACAGACTCTCCCAGCACCTCATCTGCCACTGAACTGCCTATTTTTGTTTCACATTCTGATTCCCAGAGGCTTATCTGCTCTTAGAATTAAGCACCTGATCTACCACAGGTGGGTATTTGGGTTGACCTTTCAAGTAGAACTGCCTTTTGTCAGAACTTTCAGTACAGAGAATAAAGCATAATATCATGTTTTCAGTGAGCTGCAATGTCACCATGTGTTTCCAAGTGAGCTAGCAAGAGGCAGTGCCTTTAAAACAAATTCACCCAGTCAGTGGTCTCCTCAGCCCTGGATAAGACCAAACTCCTTATGCATCAGCCGGTTTCTGTGCTATTGGCTCTCTTTTTAGAAGAAACTATAAACCAAAGGGAAGGAAAATGAGAAAGAAAGATGTCAAGTAATAGAAATGAGTAAAAGGTGGTATTTCAGAAGGCTGGATTCCTAGAAGCTTTAGAAACTTTTTTTTCATGCCCCACTCATCCAGGATCCTATATACGAAATTAGGAATGATTTGTTATGCCTGGGTTATTACTGTAAACTAAGCCCGCTCTTTTGATCTAGTAGCAGAATTAGTTCAAATCATCATTTTACATCCTAATAAACAGAAAATTATGTTAACTAAGTGGCATCCAGAGAGCATTGACCCAATGAACTCTCTGTTCTCGGGTAGCTAATTTCTATTGTCTTGGCTTACTCATCTAGCATAGATAATTTCCAGCCCATTCTAGGTTCTTTCAGTTTACGACTCTGACTTATATTTTCAGGAAATATAACAACATATTTTCCATCCAGAAAGCCAGCTTGTGATTATTGCCTTAACTTGGCTGAGACATTATCCCTAATATGAATTACAGAAAGTAGATGTGAAAACCATAAGTCTCTCCTTTGACTTCCTTCCTGTGCTTTCCTTCTGCTGTTCGCCGCCTTCTAGATAGATGGCGCTCTTTTCTCAGAGACAGGTCTGATCATATTTCTCATCAAAATATCAGAGAATATACCTTACTTTTAAACAATCGTTAATTAAAGAAATCAGACAAGCAATTTGCAGCACCTTGGGAACAAAAGCAACATGGGGGAAATGATCTTTTATGACTCAAGAGCTCCATTGAAACCTGTGACTTGTGCTTAATAGGTGAAGCAAATATTGTAACTACACATGAAAGTGGCATGCTCATGATGCCCACACAGCCCCAGTGGGAAGAACTCACATAAGGAGCCATTTTAAAGTGCCAAAATGTTCATCTACTTTAACAAAAGTGAATAAATGCTATTCCACATTAGGAGGTACGATCAGAATATGCAGCTCGATGCTAACACACTGAGCATCAGTCTCAATACTGACAGCTTTCACAGTCTTTACCAAATTAATTCAGAACACCTGGTACAACGGAAAGTGGACCACGAACTCTTTTGAAGTCATTTTACTAGATAAAAATTACATATCCTCCCCAGACCGTCCTATACAACCTCCAATACTATAGCAGATTCTTTTAGTCACTATCACCCTAACGGATTCCCACGTTACAGCACTGAAATAACAACCATGTCCTGTAGCTGTCCTGAACCACTGGACAACTCCAGATGCCACTCACGACTCCCCCCAGAAGGTCTGCAGGAAGAAAATGCAAACTGCGTGAAGCAATACACCTGCGTGCTTGCTGTATCTCAATAACACAGTCCTGGAGAGATGCCAGGAAGGTTTTCTCCACACAGGGCATCCTCAGAATGGAGGGATAGTGTGATAAAAGCTCCCAGGACAAGGAGGAGAGGGGTGGGGCTGTGATTCAGTCTAAACAAGCAGGTCTAAAAAACTCGGCAAGTTCAGCTCTTTAAACTACCAAGAAGCCTCTGTCATTCAGTTAGGGAAAGCTAACTAGAATTCCTCCCTCACTCCTCACAACTTACTGTTCCCAAAGCTCATGCAGAGGGATTGAGACCCTTGCTTTCCCTCAAGGCTCAGAATAAGAAAGGCTCTAAGACAGAGGCCCCCACTTCCTGCATCTTACTAGCTTTGGGAAAAGAAACTTCTTTGGGGGATTTTGAATGTTTCCTTTATCAAGGGAGGGGGAAAAGCAAATTTTCACTCAAACATAAACAGTAAGCACTCTATCCAGGTCACCCCCTCTGTCACCCCTGTTTACTTCTCTGTAACTCACTGGACTTTGTCCCCTCACGCCCTCAGAGTCCCACGCTTGGAGCTAGGCGTATCCCTTACCTGACGATGACATACATGACCAGGAAGTTTCCGAAGAGGCCCACTACACACACAACGGAGTACAGGGCCATGATGGTGATGGCCGTGACCATGGAAGGACTGCCGGTCGGAGGGCACAGATTGTCGCTCCCGTCCAGCTCAGTGCGGTTCAGACCACACGGGTCGGACTGGTTACCATCTACGTGAGACAAGTTGAACCAGGAGCCAAGACTGGTTGCTGAGGAGCAACTTGCAGGCACCAAGGGGTCAGAGCAATTGCTAGCATTCACCGAGACGGTGTGGCTGTCCATGGTGCTGACGGCCTGCTTGTGGGAGATGCGGGGTAACTCGGAGCACCGCGACTTTTCAGTTCCAGAGCCCCAGCCTTTTCCTTTTAAGGATGCCTCAGCTTCCGCAATTTCTTTCAGAGACCAGCCCCGGAGGAACCGGAGAAGAGCGTCAGGCAGAAGGAAACGTCTGAGCATCTGACATTATCCTCTGCTTGTAGACGCTTCCCACCTTAAAAGTACACAGAGGCGCGTCCTGAAACGCTGCACCACTGGGCAGAGGGAAGCGAGCACTGTGCGGGATCATAGGCTGGAGAAGAGGGAGGAGGGAGAAGGGGTGGATTTTGCGCAAAGCAATTCTAAGAGTCCTGCTTCTCTTGCTACTCTTCAGTGCAAACGTGTGAAACGGCGGGGGACGGGGGCCCAGTGGGGAAGGGAGAGGTCAGAAAGGGAAGGGAGTTGCAGAGAAGGGTGGGAAGAGAGATTCACAAGTTTCTCAGCAAGAATAAAGCCTAAGAAAGGGCGCACATCACTCCTTTTTTCTAGCGCCGTTTTTTTTTTTTTTTTTTTTTTTTTTTTTTTTAAAAAAAAAAAAAAAAAAAAAAGAGGACGATAAATCTTTCACTGTGATATATCAAAATAA